TTTCCATTACATCTATTCATTGCAATAGTTCAATTGCATTAAAAACAAAACAAATTCCACTAAATTTCAGATAGATAGGCAGCAAATATATAACTTGACAAAATCCTAAATACTCTGCGTCAATTCAATGGAGGAGTAGGGCAATCTTTAATGAGTTAAAATAAGAGCATTATATTTTACAGTTGTTGGTAGCCACCAAGGTCATCTAGTCAAACTACATTGATTCATAATTTTGAAAACTAAGGTCCTATATTAACTGTCTTTGCTGACCACAGTGCTATGAAACTAAAAAACAAGAACAGGAGGAATCATGGAAAATGAACAAATATGTGGAAATTAAATAACATGTCCCTGAACAACTGTTGGGTTAAAGAAGAAATTAAAGGAGAAATTTTTAAAATCTTGAGACAAATGAAAATGGAAACACAACATACCAGACTTATGGGATATGATAAAAGCTGTTCTAAGAGAGAAGTTTATAGCAATAAGCATCTACATCAAAAAAAGAAGAAAGATCTCAAATAAACAACCTAATATTATACTTTAAGGAACTAGAAAAAGAAGTATGACTAAGCCCAAGGTTAGCAGAAGAAAGGAATAACAAAGATCAGAGCAGAAATAAATAAAACAGAGACTAGAAAACCAATAGAAAAGATGAATAAAATTAAGAAATTGGTTTTTAGAAAAGCTGAATAAAACTGACAAGCCCTTAGCTAGATTAAGGAAAAAGAGAAAAAACCAAATAAATAAAATTTAAAATAAAAAAGGAGACATTACAACTGATGAGAAAGCATCATAAGACTACTATGAGCAATTATGCACTAAGGAATTGAACAACCTAGAAAAAAAAAATAAATTCCTAGAAACATATAACCTACCAAGCTGAATCATGAAGAAACTGGAAATCTAAACAGACCAATAATGAGTCAGAGTATTAAATCAGGCTTTTTAAATCACCTAAAGAAAAACCCAGAACCAGATGGCTTCATAACTGAACTCTATGAAATATTTTTTAAAAACTAATACCAGTTCTGCTCAAACTGTTCCAGAGAATTGAAGAAGAAAGAATACTTCCAAATTCATTTTATTAGGCCGCATTACTCTGCCACTAAAACTGGACAAAGACACTATGAAAAAAGAAAACTACAGGCCAATATCACTGACAAACAGATGCAGAATTTCACAACAAGATACTAGCCAACCATATTCAACAATACTTTAAAAGGATCACTCACCATGATTAAGTGGGATTTATCTCTGGAATGCAAGTTTGGTTCTACATATACAAACCAATAAATGTGATTCACCATATTAACAGAATGAAGGACAAAAAGTGCATGATTTTTCAGTTGAAATAGAGAAAGCACTTGACAAAATCCAGCTTCCTTTTATGATAAAATTAGGTCTAGAAGGAATGTTCCTCCAAACAACTAAGGTCATGTATTAAAAGCCCACAGCTAACATTGTACTTAATAGTGAAAAATTGAAAGCTTTTCCTCTAAGATCAGAAAGAAGACAAGGATGCCCAATCTCACCACCTCTGTTCAACACAGTACTGGAAATCCAAGCCAGAACAATTAGGCAAGAAAAGAAAAGGCATCTGCATAGGAAAGGAAGAAGTGAAATTGTCTTTTTGCTGACATGATATTTTACATAGAAAATTCAGAAGACTTCACCAAAAACCTGTTAGAACTAATGAACTAATTCAGCAAAGTTGCAGAACACAAAATTAACATACAAAAAAAAGTAGTGTTTCCACATATTAATAACAAACTATGTGAAAAATAAATTAAGAAAACAATCCCATTTGTAATAGTGTCAAAAATAGATAAATAAAATGCTTATGAGTAAATTTAACCAAAGAGATGGAAGATCTGTATACTGAAAACTATAAAACATTGATGAAGGTAATTGAAGATTACACAAATAAAAGAAAACATACCCTGTGTTCATGGATTTGAAGGATTAATATTGTTAAAATGTTATACTACCAAAGCAGTCTTCAGATTCAATGCAACCTCTATCAAAGTTCTAATGTCATTTTTCACAGAAACAGAAAAAACAATTGTAAAACTCATATGGGTCCACAAGAGACCCCAATAGCCAAACCATTCTTAACCAAAAAGAACAAAGCTAAAGATATCACACAACTGGATTTCAAAACATATTGCAAAGCTACAGTAATCAAAACAGAATGTACTGGCATAAAAACAGACACATTGACCAATGGAATGGTACAGAGTGCCCAGAAATAAACCTACACATATATAGTCAATTTTGACAGAGGTTCCAAGAAGACAAAATGAGGAAAGGGCAGTCTCTTCAATAAATGGGAAAACTGGATATCCACATGAAAAAGGATGAAAAGTACCTTTATTTCACTCTTATACAAGAATAAAGCCAAAATGGATTAAAGACTTAAATGTAAGACATGACACTGTAAAGCCACTAGAAGAAAACATAGGGGGAAAGTTCCATGACAGAGTCTGGAACAATGACTTTTCAGATATAATCCCAGAAACACAGGCAACAAAAGCAAAATAGACAAATATAATTGTATTGAACTAAAAAGTTTCTGGGCAGCAAAAGAAACAATAGAGTGAAGAGAAAACGCACAGATTGGGAGAAAATATTTGCAAATTATACATCAGATAAGGGGGCTAATATTCAAAATATACAAGGACACAAATTACTCAGTAACAAGAAAACAAATAAACCAATTTAAAAATGAACAAAAAACCTGAATAGACATTGCTCAAAAGAAGACAGAAGTAGTTAACAGATATAAGAAAAAACTGCTCAACATCACTAATCATTAGAGAAACGCAAATCAAAACCACAATGAAATATCACCTCATACCTACCTGTTCAATTGGATTAAAAAAAAAAACAAAGTTAAGTGTTGGCAAGGATGTGGAGAAAAAGAAACCCTTGTATACTGGTGGTGATATTATAAATTAATACAGCCATTTTGGAATACAGTATTGAGCTTCCTCAAAAAAACTATAAAAAGAATTACAATATAATCCAGCAATCCCACTTTGGGGTACAGTATATACCCAAAGGTATTGAAATCAGTATTTTGAAGAGATATCTGCACTCCCACCTTCACTGAAGAATTTTTCACAAGAGCCAAGATATGGAAAAAACCCAAGTGTCTACTGAAGCATGAATTGATATTTTAAATGTCATATATATACACAATAGAATACTCTTAGGACTTCACACACACACACACACACACACACACACACACACACACATACACAGTGAGAAAGAGAGAGAGAGAGAGGAAATTCTGGCATTTGTGACAACGTGGATGAACCTAGAGGACATTAGGCTAAATGAAATAAGCCAGGCACCAAGAGACAAATGCCATATGATTTCACTTTTATGTGAAATCTAAAAAAGTCAAATTCATTCAAGTAGAGAGTAGAATGGATCAGAGGCTGGCAATGATTGGGGCACAGGAGTAGACAAGGAAAGGGGAGATGATGGTGAAAGGGTACAGAGTTTCAGTTAGACATAAGGAACATAAGGAACATGATCTACTGCATAGCATGGTGACTATAGTTAATAATAATGTATTATATATTTTAAAACAGTTAAAAGAGGATATCAAATGTTCTGTGAGGGATATGTTAACTCACCTAATTTGATTATCCTACCATGTATACATGTATGAAAATACTACATTGGACCCCATAAATATATACAATTATTATTTGCCAATTAAAAAAGAAACTAAGGTCCATATAATTTAAATGAGGAGCATAAAGCTACAAAACTAGTTGGAGGCAGAAATGGCTCTGAACCCTTTTCCCTTTACTCTCAGACCAATGGAACATTGAGCACAGAATATTAATCACTGTCTTTGCTACTATGAAGCCAGTATTCTTGGTTTCCCAAAGCACAGGGAATAGAAAAATAGAATTCCAGTTCCCCAGAATGTAACTCCAAAGGAAAAATATCATGGTGTTAGCACAGTTTTACTTGACTTTGGATGCCCCAGTAAACCTGTGAAATCACTTTAAATAATCTAAACGCATGCAAATTCCACTCCGAATTGTAGGAATGAACTGAAAAAAAAAAAAAAAAACTACAAGTCTGAGCATTCCAAAATAATGGCCTAGCTATTTGAAGGATAAAAAACTCAAATTATGACCAAATAAGAAGATGACAGAGGTGGTATTCTTAATACAGCAAAAATCAAGTTAGAATTTTATGATGCCTCTGTGGTACCAGAATATAGTGTTGTGCCAGAAATAGGCTTCTCAACTTTTCGGTTCATAAATGGACTGAAGTGCCATATACATACAGTGCCATATACATACAGATTGTACTACATTTGGAGTGTTCTTGTGAGTTCCTCCCATACAGAATATAATTTGGAGTGTCCCTGTGAATACATTTGGTGTCCCCCAGACATTTGGTGTCCTCCGGAATACATCTGGAGTGGCCCTCTGAGTTCTTCCCATGCAGAATATGAGAAAACATTATAACTGGTTGCTCAAGCTATGCTCCTGGCTATGTAGACCAGAGTAAAGACAATTTATATACATTGATATACAAAAGAAAGAACAGGGGATAGCCATACCTGGATCTGACCCATGGAGACCCCTGAATTCTACCTGACAAGGGCATAAAGTAGCGAATATCAAACTTTTTTCTTTAAAAGGCCATATACTGGAAATTTTAGGCTGTGTTAAAAGTACACAATCCTGCCATTGTAATACAAAGCAGCATGAATGAATGCGACTGTGATCAATAAAACTTTATGGACACTGAAATTTGAATTTCAAATACTTTTCATGTGTCATGAAATGTTATTCTTCTAATTTCTTCTTAGCCATTAAAAAATATAAAAACAATTCTAAGTTCATAGGTCATTCAAAAACAGCATTATCTCAAATTTATGCTTCAACAATTATAAATCATTTTAAACTCGTTTGTATTTTGAGCATGCATAGCCACTTTGATAATAAGGTCTACATACTTACTTTCTAGTGTGATACATAGTAGGGATCAGAAAGTAACTCTGTTGGCTTGGAAGGCTGAGATTTGGTAGATAAGCTCCACCCTGACTTTGGAGTGTGGTGATGTAGTATAACGATTAAATACATGTGGCTGACCTTTTCGGAGGGTCAGTTGGATGTATCCCAGAGATCACCCCAGGAATGCATTTTCTGGTTCCGACCAACCTCTTCTTCTAAAACACCCCTTTGAAGACGTTGCTTTAGTAAATCCTAATAAAACACACTGTGTGGAAGGTAAGAGAAGAAAATAAATAGGGATATAGCAATGCTAGGGCTAACACATCACTTACAAGTTTCTGAATAGGTTATCAGATCATGGGTTAATTATTTGTAAATATTTGTAAATAAAAAGTATTTATAAATATATGTATATTTTTACAAATATATATACACAAATATTTATTTATTTATTTATTTACTTTGGGACAGGGTCTCACTCTGTCACCCAGACCGGAGTGCAGTGGCATGATCACTGCCCACTGAAGCCTCAACCTCCTGGGCACTGGTGATCCTCCCACCTCAGCCTCCCAGGCAACTGAAACTATAAGTATGTGCCACCATGCCCAGATAATTTTTGTATTTTTGGTAGAGATGGGATTTTGCCCTGTTGCCCAGGTTGGTTTAGCACTCCTGGGCTCAAGCAACCTTCCTGCCTTGACATTTCAAAGCACTGGAATTAGTCGTGAGCCACTAAGCCTAGACAAATATACTTTTAATATAAAGAACGATTATATAGAACTTTCAATAGCAATCCCCAAAAATTCTGCTTGAGACTAACTAGAATATAGATTGTTATTTTATTTTATAGTTTTTTCTTACCAGTGACTATCACAAGTAGAAAATTGAAATTAAAATCTCTTGCTAATTTCTGTTTATTCTATGATCTCCTGAAGTGTGAGTTTAAAATGTTTCTTTCAGTTCAGATTTGACTGAACATTCTGTGGAGCACCCACTCACTGCAGATAAAAGGTGAAGAGGCTTCCTTCCATTCAGGTTGCTCAGAGGGCAGACACGCCTCATTTTAGTCATCCACTATGAACTGAGTGACAACTCATTGCTATAAATATCTCCAGATCTCCTGTTCCTCTCTGCTCCAACCATAGTTCCTGCCCCTATATCCTCAGCATTTCCCCAGTGCCCTATGAATTCATTTCCGAAGTGTCTCTTACTTTATTTAAATCTCTCATGAATTCCCAAAGCCCATGTTACCAGGAGGAAGATTCAGCTGGGCAGGATCCCAGGAGATCTAGGGCTGGTTCTAAACTGATGACCTTTTAGCACATGTCTCTTACTTCTGCACTCAGACCCAAAATAACACCCTAGGAGGAGAGAACACATAGAGCAGGCGTTAGATACAAAATAAAGAAACGTCACCCACCAGTGACTGTTATCTGAAATTGTATGTTTATGCAAGTAGGGGATGATTTTGGCCAATTTATCTCATTTCAAGGAAGATAAACCTTCACTACAGTTCTGATTGAAGATTCCCATTGAAATCATAACCTGAACTAAACAACATAAAGGAATAAATATCTAGTTCCAGGGGATTCAATTTTCTCAATTTTTCTGAAGGGGTCTATTGAAACTTTTATCTCATAGCAGCTGCTACGCTGGTCCCCAGGAGGAACTGAAGGGCTCTACTTTTGAAGTGTCATACACAACTTTTCCTTGCTATGAAGAAGCATATACTTTCCAGCCACTACAAAAGTAAAAATTTTCCCCCGACTCTCCCTGGAGAATACATGCACAGAAAACTGAATTCATCTGTTCTGGTGCTGCTTGGAGGTATGAAAAATAAAGTAAAAAAGAAAAAGAAAACTGTATTCAAAAGGAAAACAATAACCCATTATTTTCTAAGCCAATGGTATATTTGCTTCTTAAAAAGTCAATAGTAAATTCTTAGGAGAAATAGTTGTTACTTTATTTTATTGAAACTACCGGTAAGATCAAGTTTAGCCGGAACGGTGAATTGGATCTTTACCTTCAGCACTGGCCCAGCCTCCTCTCTGTGTCTCTCACATCTGTTTTGGCAACCCCATTCCTCTGAAGCACTTAGAGCTTCATGGTCTTCTTCCAACCCCCAAAGAGCTGCCAAGCCTTTAAAAAGAGAATAGTCATTGATGGATTGTATAAAATTGAAAGTCAAATTCACTTTGACCCTGGTAATATCATAATTCATTTATTCTGGAAAGAAAAAAAATAATAGTAATTTGTTGCTTACTGTTGTGGAGCTGGGAAGTTCAAGCTAAAGCTCCCAGCAGATTTGGTGTCTGGTTAGAGCTCATTCCTCATAGATGTTGCTTTCTAGGTGTCCTCACATGGAAACGGGGCAGACTCCCTCAAGCCTCTTTCATAAGGGCATTAGTCCCATTCATGAGGGTGGAGCCCTCATGACCTAATCACCTCCCAAAGTCTCTACCTCTTAATACTCTTGCATTGGAGATTAGGTTTCAACATTTGAATTTTGGTGGGACACAAACATTCATATTGTAGCAAGAGGCACACATAAAATAAAGCTAAAGCACATACAAATCTGTGACTTACACAGAAAAACATATACTAACTTATAAAAACCAAAATTGCTATATATAGTTACATTAATGTCAAACAAAATAGACATTATAACAAATGACCTAGTGCTACAGGTGTTAATATGGTTGATTCTTACAAATATAATATCAAGTTACAGAAAAATACATACAGAAAAAATGTATTTATATAAAGTTAAAGAATATACAAAATTATTACATAATGTTTGGCAATGTTTATATACCTCATGAAGTAATAGGTGAGGAAACACAAACAGCCTTGGAAGTTTTTGCCTGGCCATGCGTATTCATGGTATTATTTTCTATATTCTTTGGTACATTTTATATTAATTAATTTCCTCTGTATTATACATTGGTATACCTGGTATATATATATGTGTGTGTGTGTGTGTATACACACACACACACACACATATGCATAATATATCTTTTAAATAAATAAATGGAAGTAAAAAATGTTAACATTTTGATTTGTTTTAAAAATTATGACTGTGTTTTTAAACCAGAAGAGCTTTCTGGCAACATCATCTGGAAATAAAACTGCACTTGCCAGCTGCTTTTAAATTATCCTGCTCATTTTCTCTATCTTTCAGACTTGTAATCAGAGACAGATCTGGACATGTGAGTTTTACTTTTCCACTGTACACTTATAATTACTACCAAAATAGTTATACTCTCTGATGGGCTCCAAACGCATTGCCTAAAGCTTATTCCTTAGTGGGTTTACTTTCTAAATTGTTTGCTCCAACTGATCCTCTAAGAGTCAAAGACACAGGGATCTAAAAGATGAAATAACCAAAAATTATCTGCTTGAGTATTTCCTGGGCCAAGTCAATCAGTGCCTCTCTCTCTCTTTCTGCCTCTCTCCTTTTTCTTCCTCATGCTCTCTCTCTCTCTCTCTCCTTTTCTTAACATAGAAAAGAGAATGAAGAAACAGGAACTATGTGGCCCTGGTCCCCCTGTCACCCTTTCCACAATGCAGTCCTTAGCTCATCTGTCTTGTGTTTTACCATGAGGACTCTGGGAGCAAACTGATCGCTGCATGCTTCCTGTATGCTCCAGTCAGGATCTAGCCAAAAATGGAATCACAATTCACAGCTAATGTACAGGAATAAAAGCTGCTATTTTTCCTATCAGATGTCCTATAAATTGTAGTTTATTTTCCCAGTAGATTTATACAAGTTGAACTTTATTATTATTGTTTTTAACTGGTTTGAGTACATATGTTTTAATAAGTCATTTGGTCATAAGCAGTCCATACCTTGTGAACCAAACCACATGGTGAAACAGATTATGCAAACCTAATTAGTCCTACTGGGAGTTTGAGGATGCATAATTGACTCCCTAGATGCCTCAGTGTAGCATCGTTACGTGGCATTTTTCTATGATGTGGTTGGAAAGGTAACATATATTTTACTCTTTTCCATGATTAGGAAAATGGCAACAGGGGTCAATTTTAAGTCATCTCAATTCATTACATATTTCCCAATGAATTTGAAGAAAGCAGTTCATGTTACACTCAAACATTTACCTGTTTTTGCAACTGTGTTTGTTAAATTGCGTAGCTATGTTTGCAATATTTTTAAAAAATTAAAAGAACTTGGCCCGGCGCGGTGGCTCACGCCTATAATCCCAGCACTTTGGGAGGCCGAGGTGGGTGGATCACGAGGTCAGGAGATCGAGACCATCCTGCCTAACACAGTGAAACCTCGTCTCTACCGAAAATACAAAAAATTAGCTGGGCGTGGTGGCGGGCGCCTGTAGTCCCAGCTACTCGGGAGGCTGAGGCAGGAGAATGGCGTGAACCCGGGAGGCAGAGCTTGCAGTGAGCCGAGATCACACCACTGCACAAAAAAAAAAAAAAAAAAAAAAAAAAAAAAAAAAAAATTAAAAGAACTTGAACATCCAAAAATGAGGGCTTTATTAAGTAAAGTAAGGCATATTCATGTAATAGGACACCCTTTTAAAATAATGTTTTAAAATAATATTTACTGGCAAAGAAGCAGGTTCATAATATATTGCTAAACAAAAGAAGCATGATGTCTTTATGTTTACAAATAACAATAATATGAAATCTGAAGAATATACAGTAAGATGAAGATAACAGTGATTACTTCCAGGCTGTTGTTGGTATAAGTGACTTTTTAATTCTATTTTACTTACCTATATCTTTCAATTATTTCTGAACAATCATATATTCAAATATTACCTGTGTAAAAAAAAATACAAAGAAATCTACTTGATTGAAAAACACTTACATTAAAATATGGAATGGGACATTCAAGCAAAAAGAAAGTTCTGATTTTTAAAGATCGAATAGCACTTCAGAATGTAAAACCTCAATTTTCTTCCTGCATTAGGTACATGAGAAAAGGGATCACTGATGATATGATTTGGCTGTGTCCTCACCCAAATTTCATCTTGAACTGTAGTTCCCATAATCCCCACATGTCATGGGAGGGTCCTGGTGGGAGTAATTGAATCATGGGGGTGGTTACCCCCATGCTGTTCTCATGATAGTGAGTTCTCATGAGATCTGATGGTTTTATAAGGGGCTTTTCTCACTTTGCTTGGCACTTCTCCTTCTTGTTGCCATGTGAAGAAGGATGTGTTTGCTTCCCCTTCTGCCATGATTATAAGTTTCCTGAGGCCTCCCCAGCCTTGCTGAACTGTGAGTCAATTAAACCTCTTTCCTTTATAAATTACCGAGTCTCAGGTAGGTCTCTATTAGCAGTATGAGACAGAACTAATACAATTGGTAACAAGAAGCAAAATGACTAGAAAACTTTGAGTCAGCCATTTCCTTAAGTAAGATTTATAAGATAGTACCAGCTGAAGTAGGGACTAGAAGAGATTAGTCAAATCAAGCAGCTACTAATTAATTCAAGGGCCAAATATCCTTATTATTCTGATTTACCAACCATCCAGATAAGGTATATTCAAAGAACTTCATAAATTGTGACAGTTGTTAACAATCGGATTGGACACTTGGGAATGCCCAAGGTAAGGATGGAGCCTCCAGCTTGAGAAAGAATGGTGATATACCTCTTAGTATAGAATTATTTTTATGGATTTTCGCTTACTGAAAGAGCACATGGCCTTAGGCAATGCACTTTGATACATGTGGTAAAAATAACTATTGTAATTTTTTTTTTTAATTTCTTGGATTAGGTGGTTCTTCCTCTGAAAAGAGATGAGAAATTTTAAAAGATAGTGGTTTGTATTCAAAATGGGTTAGCATTTATAAAAATGAGATTTGCCTTTCTTCTAACATTATTATATTAGTAGCATGGTCATCTAGGTGCCTTGGAATAGTGGTAAACTCTACAGATATAAATATACATATAAATAAATAAATATTTATATAAATATATATAAATTTATACTAAGGATTATCATAAATATTTTCTTAAAATCTGAGTATTTTCAATCAGTTTTTGCATTTACCTAATAGTCTCTGAAAGATCTCTAAGCTTTAATAGTTCACTTACTTTGGCTGAGTGAACTTCTGAAATGCACTTCAAACTTTTGAAAACACCAATATGATCCTGTCCCTCACACCAACTACCTATGCTTAAAAAACATAACTGACTCTCCATTATTAAAACAGAAATTCTTAACTTTATGGTGAGGTTGCAGATTTACTCACACAACATTCAGATATGTTAAAAAAAAAAACTAATAAAATAAAAATATAAAAAACTCCTTTATTTTCTATTTACTGTTCTGGTCTTCAAATACCTCATCAGTAAAAGACCTCATTTACTTAAAAGACCTCATCTTCAGAAGTATCAGAGGAAAAAGAATCTGGTAAGTCAAAAGATGGAGAAATTTTGATGCATGCTCATTTAAACAGTCTCTAAGTAACTTAGGCTGTTTAAATGAGCCAGGAAAATCCCAAATCAGAGTTTTTACCCTCTCTTAACCTTCCTCCTAGATGACAATGAAGTTTATGAGAAAAGTAAAGATAACACAAGATCTCATGCTGCTGGAGGATGGAGAAATAAGACTGTTTGAAACCCCTCAGAGTTCTGTGGGTCCTGGCTGACCTGTGCATGAAGTGGTTGTTATAGGACTCTCCCAGTAGTTATCATAAAGTGCTACTGTTCCCATCATCCTTCTTTTCTGCTAGCCTTGACCATACCAAATCCCCAAGTACCATGCCCTCTTTGCTACATGCTAGACTCTCCAGGTCTCCCAGTTCACGTTGTACCCTCAATATCAAGATAGCAGGCTGAGCATTGTGGCTCATGCCTGTAATCCCAGCACTTTGGGAGGCCAAGGAGGGTGGATGACCTTAGGTCAGGAGTTCAAGACCAACCTGAGCAACATGGTGAAACCCTGTCTCTACTAAAAAATACAAAAATTACCAGGCATGGTGGTGGGCACCCATAGTCCCAGCTACTTGGGAGGCTGAGGCAAGAGAATTGTTTGAACCTAGGAAGCAGAGGTTGCTATGAGCTGAGATTGTACCACTGAACTCCAGCCTGGGTGACAGAATCAGACTCTGTCTCAAATAATAATAATAAAAATGATAATCAAAATAACATAAGGATGCTTCTGTATCTCTTTTATGTCACATCCCCTGCTCCAAGTAAACAGGTGCCTTATGCTGGCATCTACACGTTGTGTATATGAAAAGGCAAAGAGAAAAAGATGCATTAATATTTTTCAGATTGGAAAATCTTCTGGCTGCTAGTCTACTCCTCTGGTCTCATCTGGCAGCATGTAATTCTAGCCACATAGGTGTTTTATCAGTCTTTCAAACTTCCACTTCCTGCCATCATGGAATAACAGGGACTTAATTTACCCTTCCATGTGAAACAACCACAAAA